TTCCAGCACTTGCACCTGTAGCCAGACCGAGACCAGCTGGTTTCCCTGAGAAGCAGAAGATAAGGACGAGTCATCACCAACATTTGTCTCTTTACATTTGTTTTGACTTGTCACCCTGCTGAGCCTACCTCTGCTCAGAGTGCTGGACCTCACATTAACCCAGAAGACGGCGCGCTGCTGAGCTACTGTGGCCCTGAAAAACCACAGAGTTATACTGAAGATGCTTGGAAAGTTTCTTCTTTCAAACAGTTTTTATGTATAGGAAAATTTACAGTACATGTGTAGGAAAAAGGTTTGTTCCTTACATGAAGTGGACAGGGCTCGTAGAGTTGGGCGGCATCCAGCTGTACACAGTGTTGCTGCTCTTCACGTTGGTGTTGGAATGAGTCACTGCACCTTGTGGATTTCCTGAACACTGAATATAAATTATTTACACTCATCAGCAAATGTATTTTATTATCATTGTTAATGATTCATCCTGCCGGCAACATCAGATGAAAAAGTCATGATGTCCTACGAAGAGTTTTCTGAGTTCACTGACAAACAAAGTATTTGCTGAGATTTCTACACTGAACTCTTATTTTTGGAAGGAACAGTAATATTAGCAGTAGTTTAATTTCCCAGCATGCACATCACATCCCATCAAAGCACTTCAGCAGGTACAAAAATGACAGTCGCACAAGTGGAAAAACTCACCTCGAGGAACTTAGTGTCTGGAGGAGGACTCAGCCAGCTGCCCAGAGCGTTGGTGCTGCCGTCTGTCCGAGCCTCCAGAAGAACACCTCTGTACTCTGGTCCGCTGATCGTCACTGCAGCAGGAAAACACGAGAAGTTATTCTATACTCATGTTGTGCTTTTCACTTTACAAAAATAAGCCATTTAAAGTAAAACACAGATGAATACAAAGAATATTGCTATTAATGCGAAATAAAGACCATCTGAATACCAATAATTGTTTAAAAGTCAGCACTTTACAAGCAGAAGCACAGATAAGGTCCAGATAAGGTGTGCAAATTTTTCATATGAACATAATGTCATAAATGTTAACATATTTTAATAATATATTGGCAGAGCAAAACATTATTTTTTTTTTAATATTTAGAATTTTGACAGTCACATTGTTGTTCTGTGACATCTGTAGATTGCAGTGAAAAATGAAGTTTATAATGGGATGTCAGATCTAGCAATGCCATTATCCATCATCTATACACCGCTTAATCCTCACTAGGGTCGTGGGGGGCTGGAGTCTATCCCAGCTGACTCAGGGTGAGGGCAGGGGACACCCTGGACAGGTCACCAGTCTATCACAGGGCTACACTTAGAGACAGACAACCAAGCACACTCACATTCACACCTACAGACAATTTAGAATCACCAATTAACCTCAACATGATTTTGGACTGTGTGGGAGGAAGCCGGAGAACCCAGAGAGAACCCACGCTGCATGGGGAGAACATGCAAACTCCACACAGAAAGATCCCAGGTGTCCTCACCGGGACGCGAACTGGTGACCCTTTAGCTGCGAGGCAACAATGCTAACCACTGAGCCACCTTGCAGCCCCAGATCTAGCAATGTTCATCTCTAAATGTAACGTAATGCGTCCTACCTGTGATGGGTTTACCCGGCTCAAACGTCTTGGTGTTGGTGAGAAGCGTGTAGGGTGCTGGAGAAGGTTGAGGTAAAATCCCAGTGTGGCGAGGTATCATATCCTCGCAGGCACCGGTGGGAGCACCGGATGGATAGCCAGAGACAAAACAGAGCACTTGAAGCAGGAACAAACCAGACAACAGCAGCTCCATTAGGCTGAATAAGGAGTTTTTTTCACTGCAAGCACAACAATGAAAAAAGTAGCATCTAGTTAAACACAACAACTGAGAAATGATCTTATACTGCTGCTGAGTCATGCAACCGAAACATTAAAATTATCTCTAGCTGACACTTCTTGAACCATAAAATATCCGTTTCAAATGAACGGCCTTGTGATTTCTTTACATGATGTTTGTGCGTTTCATTACAAAGTTAAGGCGACTGTCCCTTCTGGCATGAATGAGACGAAAGATCGGCCATCACATCAGTCAAACCTGGAAATAATCTGAAAAATGGAGGGAATATTTAAAAACACAAGATGCTGCATGAAGAACAAATATTTAAGATTTTGCACTAAGGTCACAATCACGTTCAAGCAAATTTGTGGTAAAGACGATGCTGAGGTGGGTTTATTCTTATTATCAGAGAGTCGATACATCAAGCTTGGTTCACATTATAACTCGATCACAGATTCTGACTCCAGTTAGGAAAACTACTGTTGAAAGAAAACAGGTTCGTGGAAATAGTGGCCCATACAACAGTTCCCAAAAGGGAAACAACTCATGGGTGGGCCAAAACATTACAGCACTTCCCAACATTGTTTTAAAAAAGTTGTATTTACTGATTATTTAACGTCTGAGATTTATGACAGTAACAACAGAGTTTATTTAAGGCGACTAACAGAAGAGAGTTCATTCTGTGCTATTTTAAACCCACATGATGGTGGGAATATTCAAGTCTATGTGTGTTGTGTTACTCTAGATTTAGACTGAAAACAGCTTTTTTTCCAACTGCTGTCAGAGCCATAAACGCCTCTGTGTCGCAAAAAGCGCAGTATATTGTAAATATACAACTGCACTAGCTCTGTCCAATATCCACTCTGTGCAGTATACACTGTGTTCATGCTTATGATTTAATTTCAGCTTTTTATAGAGCATTTTTAAAAATATATATTTCTGTTATATTGTATATAATTTTCTACAAAGTTTTTACAAAGTTTTGATAGTTTGTTTTTGCACTTAAAGGCCTGCACCTTACTTTTTGTTGTACTTGTTGCAATGACAATAAAACGGCTCTGAATCTGAATCTGATTTGGACACCTGCACTAAATCGACTCCACCCTGATCAAGGAGAAGAAACAGTTATCAGAGACATGCTGCACTCTCTACACCTTGCATCTTTGAGGAGAATAATTCAGACTGCTGCAGGATAACAAACTTAAACACACCTC